CAAGTTCTCTGCTTTCAGTTACATGCAGTCTGCCTCAGAGTAAAATGCTCTTTTCTCAGAGACATTTTCTGTATGATTTAATACTAGAGTTTTATAGATTCCTTGCAAGTCACTCTAAATACTGTATTTACTTAAACAAGCAAACACATAAACAAACATAGAATGGAAGCTTCATTGTAGTTTTCAAGCATGGTCAAACCAGACTCGGGATGCCATGAAAACATACTACTCCAATTCTTGTTCCAGGACTTTTTCAACATATCCGTCTTTCTGAAAGATGTTGAGCTATGGTCCACAGTGCTGGGGAGATGGTTTTGCCAGTTTATTCAACCAGGCCATCAGACACTAGCTCTGAAACAAGTTAAATGAGTATGGGAAAAAGAAACAGATTGTGTTTATCTTGCTAGTGCCTTCCTCATAAATCAACCAAAAGATACCTTAGTTCTATATGACTACTCTGCTTAAATCTGAGTAACCACTTATGTAAAGTTTGTATTTTGTTAAAAGTCTACTAAGTTTTCCTTGGCCAGAGAAACTGCCCCTTGTCATTACAATTAAGGGTTGTTTTTCATATGGGTTCCAGCAAAGGTCTTGCAGACACAGTGACTGTTGCAATTGCACAAGACATTTTGGCAGCCAAGCTGTACACTGAATATAGGCAAGATGATCTCCTAGCTTGTTCTGCAAAGGTTGCATTGCTCTTATGCAAAGTCAAACAGCCTCTCTCCATGCGTTATCTGCCATCAATTTATAATTCACCCCACTCAACATTAACCCCTTAGGTATTGTTTCAAAATCAGATAATTACTCCTTTCAGCTCCTTTAAAATATTCTCTACAGTTTTGAAATAAGAGAGGATGGGGTGCCTAGCACATAGTCTTTAAGTTCTGTTCATGCAATTGAGTGAAATGACTCATACTGCCGATGTGGATTTACTCATTAGGTTTGTTGTGCTAGTAGATGCTCTGGGGAAACTGATGGTGACCAAATATTTCCTTTTTATCAGTGCAGCTATTTCTCTCTCATCTTGATACAGAGCAGCTCTCGTTGTCACTGGTATGCACTGCAGTCTTATCAGATCTCCCTTCTCTTTCTTTCCTCCTTTCCTCATAAAAAATTTCTCTACTGACCTTCTCAAAGTACATTATCAGTGCTATTTTGCAACCCCATCACTTTAGTTGCCAAATACATAAAAAACGTTTTGGTCTGTAAGGAGATAAAAAATATTCAGAGGTGAAATGTGTAACACCCACATGTTTTCAAAGACCTTACTGTACAGAGAACCTTCATTTTGTCCTTTGATATGGCTTTTAAAATTATTTCTAATTCTGATCTCTCAATTCATTTGCTGAGTAAGATTCATAAAACTTCAGAATAATTGGTGAATTTAACAACTTTTCAAATCATATAATTATGCATGTGTATAGATGAAAAAGCTTTACTACATCTTTCACCCCTTTTTGTCTTCATCTCATAGCAATAAAGAGTAAACCTTCCCAGGGAAGAAGTCAAGGACTGCCTTCGTGATAGGCTCCATATTCACCAGAATAATCTGTTGTCATTAGAGACCTAAAGCAAGCATGGTCTTGTACAGGGGGCCTGACTTAGCACTCCTCATAGTCTGTGTAGTCTCAGACACCTTGATGCAAACATTAAAGTGCTCTTGTGTTATTTCTCTCAGAAACTGCATGTGTCTGTATTCAGTTCATCAAATTACAGGAGATGATTAGATCAAAAGCATTCTCTCGTGAGTAATACCTCATGAGTTAATAGTCAATGAGTAATAAGTGATCATCAATGAATTTGTTTTTTGCAGGCTAAGTGGGGAACCATTTTAAAAAGCAAATTAACACTGCTCTGGAAGTAAAGGTATAAGGACCTCAGTAGCAGCATGCCCCCTGTAGATAGTGAGTTTAAAAAGCAAGGTTGTCTGTGGGTAAGGAGAGAATTGGCAGAGTGTTAACATGTTGTCTAATTACTTCAGATATCTTCTGGTACTAAGATTTCATATACCATATAAGCAAGCAGTTCAGTTACATCAAAATGAAGGGGTTGTAGCATGAGGAAGGATTGAATCTACAATTTAATAAAAGTGTATCTATGCCTTTGTACAGCAATTCAAATATTTACCTTTACAGAAGGCAATATGCTCTACAGTAAATCTTCCAAAAGATGAACAGAAACCTGGTTGTTTATTTAACTCTAGAGCAGCGAAAAATGCTACATAAAATAATTTATATTTAATGAACTGTTTTTAATTTTCTTTCTATTTCTTTTTGTTAAGATCAATCTGGCATGCATAAGTATTGGGAGCTCCCCAGTACTCTCTTTCCCATTCTTCTTTATTTCTTTTAAATGATCCCAATGTTCCACAGTGCTTAATCTAGAGATTAAGTACTTAATCAAGAAATCTCCAGCATTTATGCAACTAGACTCTGTTTCTTTCCTCTATTGCTCAATTATTGTATCTTGTTTGTAATTTGTAGACAAAAGTTTTTCTGTGTAAAGAAAATGTGTACATTATTTACATGTGTGTTTTTTACTTTTCCACTATGCCTTTTTGCCAATATTATGAAGAACTTGGGTGATGATTTTCAGTTGAACTATTTGGCTTCACTCTCGTTGTCAGATATGGGATGTAGCTCTTGTGATATACACCAGGGAGATATGTAGGCATCAATATTGTAAGTTGCCATATCATCATTTTTTGATAAACACTTTTTAGTATCTTTGGGACACTAATTTTGCACTCCTTCACATGTAAGAAAAGCTATATTTGTGATCTGAGATTGTCCTTCTGGACTCTATGGTAGAGTCCAGACTATTATATAGACAACAAGTATTGTTGTACCTAGATTGCTTTAAATCCTTCTTTCATTTTTGTCATTGTATTGAACCAAGCCAGTAGAACAGAGGAGCTTAAAACCCTTAAAATCTTGTCAACCAAAAGTTTGGAATTATTTTTATCTCCGACAATGGAGGTCCCTTAATGAAATGCTTGACACCCCCCACTTCCCACCCCGCTCTCCTTAGCACATATTCATTGAAAGAGGATATTTATTCTAACAAGCCTATCCAGCTACTTTTAGCTACTAAGTACAACAAATGATCACTTTCATAGGATCATGGAAAAGAGGGCTGTAATGGTCTTTGAGCCTATGTCTTCAGTGCTAAGAAACAGAGAGTCAGGGAGGAAGCTTGAACAGTGGAGCCCTGATTGTCCACACTGTTTTTTTGTTCACTTGCAGTAGCTAGTTTTCTTCAAGACAAATCTGCTATAGAAGGGGAAGGACATGAGCCAGTCCATGTGACTTGGTCTCAGGGCCAGGAATCAACCCTGAGGCCTATTAGACATAGCCTGAAAGGTTATAGAGCCATCTCTTCTTCTCAAAATAGAAAAACATCATCAAGCAGTAATTTGTTCTTTTTCAATATGAACTGAATCCAATCAATGAGCTTTGTTGACTGAACACTCTAGGGCTGTGCTCGACCCAAAAGCTTTTACTATTTCTGATTTTTGCTCTGCTCCCATGGACATCAACAATTCCTTACTGTCACAAGACAGCATAAATAACTTGCTGACATCCCTCCTAAATCTCAACTTGTAGTATTCCAGTAAATTAAAATATGCTTTTGCACCAGTGAGTATGCTAGTGTTAGATGGTATACAGTTTTTTTCTGCTGAGAATAACTGACACTTTCTCAAGCCTCAGGATAGAAAACCAATGCTTTATTATCAACATAAACCTAATTGTTAGGGGCCATAACACCAGTTCCATGTATAGTCAGGAACCCACATAACTCCACTGGAGTTAGGAAACAGTTAGGAAAAGTCACCTCAAAATTCCTCCTGGGCTGTGCTCCTAGTAAGCACTCTGGGAATGAAGGAGCTAACCCCTAACATGAGTCTTTGCAAAGTTTGTGGCCTATGAAGTATAGAATAATAAACCTGTCTTATATGATGCTGTGTATTATCTGTACTGCAAGGCATCAGTGACATTAATTTCTCAGTTAGACCACAGTGCCACTGAACCTATACAATCAGGCTTTATGAAATTAAATAAGGGCAGAACATGGCCTTGTAATTCTATCCCCTAAGCTGAAGAAGAAGCTCCAATTACGACCAGTACTATTAATATTTCTATCCTCATTCAAGACATCCAACCACTAAGGAACAAAGCAATTACAATTATTGCTAAGGTGATAGAGATGTCTTCATGTAACGACTTACAAAAGCAAATATATTTTGAACTCTGTAATGTGTTGTTTTTGACTTTTGCCACTTCTTGACTATTAGCCGAGTAGAACAAAATTCTGGAAAAGTCCAAACCCCGATAATCACAATTTTTATTCTTCTAAAATTAATAGGGAATTATACAATACTTTATGGATTCTGGGCCTGGTTTTCAGAAGTGTTAAGTTATCATAGCTCCTATACTAGTCAGTGTAAGCCTTCTCTGCTTAATGTATGTTGAAAGTAGGTCTTCAGTCAAATTTATGCTATACCAATCTTCTGAATATTTGGGAAGACATTCCATTATAAAGAAAATAACGTAAATTTTATGTGCATATATGGATTATTCATTTCAGATGTTCTGGTTTTCTACTTCCCTATTTTATTTTATTTTTCCTAATGCATATCATTTACACAAATAAAACATGAGGACAAAGCATATGGAACAAGGTAACTTTTGGACTATGATAAATGTGACCTAGCAAAATGAGGGAAAATTTCATGTCTGTCTTCACAGAGACAGAAATTCCCAGAGCAAGCAAGATGCCCACACAGGAATCCTAACTGCAAATCCAGATCCAAATCACTGCTTTTTCCCAGGCCTGGGAGATAACAGGAGGAAGAGAGATGCTGGCAGAGTAAAACTCAGGAGCAGAAAAAGACTCAGTTCCCTGTATCCAGCACTCTCATAACATCTGTTCCCAGACTCCAGAGAATATTATTGTTTTCATCAGGTTAGTCTAAGCACAAAAACATGCATTGCTACCTTTGTCTTCTTTCTGCTTGCCTTCTTTCTGTAAACCATGAGATAGTCTTCAACACCCTCCTCCTCCTCTATATTTACCCACAGAAGTCTCGTGGATGTCCCAGGACACTTTTCAGCCAGTTTTGCAACACTTAAAGCCGCTGTTGTTACAAAAGAGCTTCTTTCAGTTCCTCTCAGCAGGCTGTTGTGCTATGGGCCTTCAAATCAAGAACAGACTCCTCTTGGGTTCCTCTTAGACTTTTTAATGTGCCTTTTCCCTAGAGATGCCTCCTCTCCCCACATTTAAATTTCCTTTCCTCTTTTGCCAATGTTAATGTTATACATTAGATATTTGGCACAGCTGTGCTGATATGTATTTCCTCTCAGCTGACTTCAGCCTGTCTCTTGTTTCTGAATGAAAGCAGACTTCAGAGCATTCATCCCAAGGGGCTGATCTCTCTGTGCTACACCTGCTTTCACCTCACCTGGAACCATGAAGGAAATGTCACCAAAACACCAGTGTGTAAATTAAAAATAAATTAATGGGTTACCCAAGAAAGCATGGTAATGTAGCACTGCTAAGGGGCTCCAGCTTCTTCCTGCTCATAGGAAAGCAAAAGAAGTACCCACAATGTGAGTATACAGGAATGGAATACTGGTATTGTAATGTATTTTTTTTGAGGGGTGCCATATATTTCTGTTTTACAAACTATTCTTTAAGCTATTCTGACATTTTTTCTTTCATCTTTGTTAGCTTGCAGAGCATGGACAACATGACTTCCTAATCATCTTCTTCCAGTCTCCTATCTCTATCTAATCATTATTTACAAAACACTGTGTTTAAGATTCTGCCCCCAACCCCCACCTTCTTGCTCTATCTGTGGAAGGCTGAAGGAAAAAAAGTGTAGGAGTTTTGGAGGCAACGTCAGGCTCAGACAAGAGCCTGAGGCAATGGTGGCAGCCACTGTATCATATCTCACTGTGATGTCATTGTTGGTCTGATACGTACAACACCTTCACCATATTTACCATAACTGAGCACGTCAGGATCATTACAGACAAATGCTAAAAATACTTTCTCAAAACCTAAATTTCAAGATTTCTTAACCATAACACATTGTTTTTCTTATCCTCCTGCCTTCATCAATTTGCAGAAAACCAACATATAATACCTGCTTTTGTGAATCTACAAAGGTGTTTACATCTTTTCTGAGGTTAATATGGTGATTTTCTTTGAAAATGTGATCTGTATCATTACTGACACTTACTATTTGCTTTGGAGGTTTCCAATGCCCTTCTGTGAAGCAGGGCACCACAATGTTGTCTATTGCTAGCATATAAATTCAGCATTTAAAATATAAATTGACAGAGATATCAATGTATAAGAGAAAGAGAGCAGGCCCCATTTTTTTCTGGGGAATTGAGGCATGATAAAATTGACTTAGCCAACATGGAGTTGAAGCTCTACCATATTTTTCTTAAGTAGTGAGAGAAACACAGTGGTTTCACTATTGTTGCATAGACAGGATACATTAGTTTGACATATGCATTGTGCACTTTGTTGAGGTTGTAGAAGGCATTAAGGTGCCTTGGGGATTCTACCACCAAAGCCCTACTTTTGGAGCTTAAAACTGCAGCAGACTGATTTCCCTTAGATTACAGAGCCCCAGTAAGACCACATGTCCACAAGTGCTGCAGAAGCAGGGCCCTGGAGGGAGAGCCTAGCTATAGGTCAATGGGAAAACAGGGTCAGTGGCTAATGAGTCTGCAGCACTGTATGGGGATGTGGTAAATAATTTGCAGTAGCTCCAAACTGGAAACTGGAAAGAAATAGCGTAAATAGTACTTTTTCAGAGAAGAAGTATTTTAGGTGGAATCTTTTGAGAGGAAGAAAAGCAGTTTTATTTCCACCTTCTCATGTACCTAGGAGCAGATGAGCAGCACAGCTGGCTAGAAGGCTTTTCTCGATGTTTATAATGTAATAAAGATTCATTGGGTGTGTTTAATCTTTCCTGTTAGTGTTTTGGTGTTTGCATTGGAGATATTCAAATCTTGCAAGTCTGGAGCCAAATATTATCTGTATGAATCTTTGTCTGAGCACTACATCCTCCCTTGCAACATTATTCACATGTAGCTGTTCTGTTGCCAAATTCTTCAAAATTCTAAGTAACATCCCTTTTACTGACTCTCAGCCAAATCAAGTAACTGAATGCTTGCAGTGTTTCTTAGATTCAGGTTATAAACTGCTGTACAATGCTACTGATTGCATTTAATTCAGTTCTCCCACTTCCCCTTTCCCTCCCATATGGGACCAAACTTCCCCTCCTTCTCTGATACCTTCCCTTTCACCTCAGGGTGAACAACAACACACATCTTGCCAAAACACAAACACACCTGTTTTTAAGCACTGTTCATTGTACCTCCTCCCCCAAGCTCAATGTCACAAAGTCCACATGTTCTATGTTGTAAGGTATAATCTGGTATTGATTTTGAGTAGCTAGTCAAGGATCTAGGCTGAGTTGTGTTTTTTTTTCCAGTGGGAGAAAAAGAGGTTCATTATGAGTGAGCTGACTGGCATAAAAACAAATCTATATTCTCAAAATAATAAGAATAACAATAATAAAGAAAAGAGCTAAAAGGATAAAATTGAGGAACTCCAGTGGTACAGGAGGTGAAGAGATATGAAGACTAAGTCAAATCGCACTGTAGTAAATGACAAGTTTTCCATTGACTAAGAACTTGATCAAACTAAAAGTTCAGAACAAGATCCATTTTTAGAAAAGAAAAAGTGAGGTTGTCTTAATTAGAATAGAAATTTAGAAAATCTCCAGAGCCAAAAGAGAAATTAAACAGTCTAGTTTTGTTTTGTTTTATTTTTCCTTGTGTGGACACAGCAGAGCAGCGTTAGTTCAAGAGACAAGCTCACCAGCACCATTTATTCAGATGGCTGAATCTTGGTTAATTACTGTGTTAAAACTGACTCTGAAATATCAGGATTATTAGTGATAACAATGTCTGTTCTAAGAGACATCCATTTCTAAGATCTTTTCACAAGGAACTACCAGTGGTAGAGACCTCTACAAAAAGATCCAAATAAAGAGAAGGCTCTTCCTGTTAATTGTTTAAGGGTACTTAGAAAGTACCAAAACTGCAGTTGCAGAGGTAAAGAGAGGAAGGAACAAGTTTTGGAACATTATAGCAAAAATTTCTATTTTAGAAAAGAAAGTACAAGTCAAGCTTGGAAGTTTTCCTCTGCAGATATGCCTGAAACAGTCACCAGTGCTAACATCAGCACAGATCCCTTTGGTTTTGAATACAGTGAAATAAAATGGTATATTTCTTTCATCTGAAATATTGTTACTATAGATTTGCAAATCAGTGTAGGAATTATACTGCTGACAAATGCAAAAAAATAGAAGCTTGTAAAATATTGGTGCCAGAGAAAAGAAAACACATTTTTAGAAATCTCTTCAATTAGAAGGTAGAATTTTGGATTAGATATATTCAGACATACTCTGAATCTTCTAGGTTTATAAATGCCCCAGCACTCAATCCCCCAAGATCAACATGTTTTACATGCAGAACAAGAACATATCACTGAGATTAGGCCTTTAAGTCCTCATTTTTGGAGCAATGATAATATATGGAATGGTTAGGACATGATAAGGTGATATTTCAATCATATTTTTCAATCACACAATCATAGTGTAAATGACTATAAGATGTCTAAAGTGGTGGCAAACGTGGCTAAGGTGAGTTAAGCCTGAGCAGACATATGAGAAAACCATCTGTATAGGGAATTTATTTTGAATGTAGTGAGCTGAATGTGTTATCATCCATGGTCTAACCTTCAAAGGTACACATACATAAAACCCAGCCTACAAATACAGATTTTAATGGTGTCTATGGCTTTCTAGATAACTTTAAATGTACCTTGAAAGATTCAGCTTCAAACATGTTAAATGCAATCTCTTTTAAAATTCTGTTTGATCCAACTGTATCTGTAGTCTGCTGCAGAGCTGTTAGACCTGAATTATCCTGACAACCTTAATGCTTCAAAAACGTAACTATTTTATGAGGAATGAGGGCTGAGTTTTCTTACATCTAGAAAATAAGTGTGCAGAGGAAGAAGCTGAAAATATCACATAATTTATCAATAATCATTCTCTCAATGACTGTCAGGGATTTTTTGCCTGTTTGACAGTCATTCATGAGCTCTCCCTGTCTGTCTGTAGTCATAGGGATTCACTTGCATGGTTCAGATGGACACATTCCACTCTGCAGACTGTCCGCCAGAGGAGCGTTTAAGTGTTATTCACTATGTACTATTAGTGGTAAGTAACATGGAATTTAGGTTCTATGGTTTTGTTTGTGCTATCTGGTTGTGCAACTGCAATGCTGAAGCAATGCATGATGAACTTGCTTCCCAGATGAAGTTTCAGACGAATGACTATTCATGGTACTACCATAAGACATTCAAAACTTACTTATGTTTTCCATGAACATGTTTATAGTCACCCAAACAATAAATTTAATAAGCAGAAGAACAAACTTGTTCTGTAGATTCTTAGAAACAAATTCAGGCCAAGAGATCCCTGAGCTCTAAGCCATTTTCAATATGCTGATGGGAATTTAATCATTTTCAAACCCTGATAAATACATTCCTCCCTTTTCTGTCTCCAGCAGCAAAAGTTGAGTAAAACTATTGTTTGTTTTCATGCAGTCACCATAGGAAAGGAAGTTTTTAAACAAAGTACTGGAGGACAAGAGCTCCTGAGTTTAAAAGCCAGCTCTAGCAATGATGGTTTCTGTGACTTGGTCAGTTATGTGTTGCAATTCAGCTTCCCTGTCAATGTAATGACAGCGTGTGTTTGCTTCATGCAAATGACAGGGGGAAAAATGTGATAAAGCTGGCTTTTTGCTAGTAGACTAGGACTATCTGTGATCTGTTTGCAGTTTACTTATACTATTAACCACATACCTATTTTTTTTGTGATTTTTTTTTTCCTTAACTGTGGAATGAGCACAACACAGCCCTTAGAGTACTTTGTGGTCAAAGGTGTTGTATAACCACAAGTTTATTTATTATGAAATGAATGCACTCTTGTTCAAGTGAACTCCAGCATGAATATCATATGACAGGACTGATGGGAAGCTTGTTTATTCTATAGACGAAAGTAGTATTTGTCTTAATAAAATAATAACATTTTTCATTTATCTTTAGAGAACAGATCTGATATGTCTCTTGGTTAAGCTTTAGGGATAGATTTTTCAACCGTGATTCACCTTGCCGACTATTTATTCATGTGAACAGTTCTACAAAATGTTCAGATCATGATATGTGTGAAAGAAAAGAAGAAACAGTTTATGTGTTAACCTCTGTTCAGGGCAGTCCTGAGTCTAGCAATGACATTGACTGGGAATATAACTGAAATAATCCAGGATGTTATGGTCTTACATTGGAAATAATGTAACATTAACCAAAAGAAAAAACAATTAGATTATATTAAAATAAGATGAGAAAGGATAAAGACAATGGGGGTTCTTCCTGTTGAAAATAAAATGCTTCATGATACCCCTAGCAGAATTTTGCATAGCAACACCTTGAAGAAAAGGGTAGGTGAGTTATTAAAATAATTTTCTTAATATTTAGAAAACTAGAATAAATTTAATAACATTAGACTAGGTCTGCAGTGAGACTGAGCAATGGCAGCTTCTTTGTTGCTCGAGCATCGTTTCTCTTTTGGACAAGAAAATATCAGGTAGCATATGTATTGTGAAATGCACTTTTGTTAATGAAAATGTTCTTTGACCTGCCACTATTGCTTGTGCTAAAAGATCTTTGTGGAATATTATATCCATAGTGCCTAAATTAATGAGTTTTGCTCAGCAAATATTGAGTATGGGCCTGCACAATCACCACAGCAGACATTGTGTCATTCCTCACAAAACCATGGCATGCAAGTCACAAAGATGTGGTATACAGGACATTCAAAATGGGTGTTTTCACCTTCCTCTGAGTGTCTCCATCCTGGTCAGTGCTCAGGAGAAAATATGAGATGAGCTACACAAGCAAGGTCTAGGTCATGTGGCCAATCCACAATAGATTTAAAGAGTTTCTTCCATCTATAACCTGCGAACAAGATCATCACTTTTAGCACGGTTTGTTAGTCAATTTGCAATAATAACCACAGCTGCCAGGTGTTCCTACCCTCAAAGCATCACATTCAAATAAGATATAAAAGAAACATTAAACAGAAAGCAAGGCAATCAGGAAGAAAACTTGCATGTTCTTAAGTAGGGCCATGTTTATTTTTGGATTTTAAAGTTTGGTACATGAAAGCCTCAAACCCTTCTGTCTCTTACACCCACATGTAACATATAGTTTTAGTTTCATGTTATGAAAACACCACTCTGATAGTCTGCAGGCCAGTCCACACACTATTTTAAAGCCTTTGAACTAACCCCTACCCCCAACAAAACAATTATTTTGAGTTCCAATTATTTTTACTTGAAATTATTTTGACTTAATTTGCCCCACAGGGGTTCTACTAGTACAGCCATATTTTATTTTATTTTAGTTATTTTATTTTATTTAAACATTGCAAGCATAGACAACATTTCTCTACCCCCTTATTTTGGCACAAAGTGCTTACCAAACAGTCACTATGGCAGCAATAAGTATTACTTCTGAAGGATTTCAAAGAATAGCTTGGGTTGAAAGGGATCTTAAAGATCATCTAGTTCCAACTCCCCTGCCATGGATTTATAACAGTCTTGCAACTCGTCTTTGAGGAATGGCTGTGTGCTGCTGCAACCCTTGCATGAAACACTTAATCCACAGAGGTAAGATGCACTTCCAGTATCTATAGCTCTTTAGGGCTGTAGGTTTTGATGGCTTATGATTTTGGTTCTGGAGGTCTCAGCTTCTGTTCTGTGTGGTTTGGCCAACAGGTGACTGCTGTGTTGTAAATTCACTTAGAAAGTTATGACCGTGTAGTGACACGGTCACGGCTGTGACTATAACTCTAAGCCTGAATGTTGTTAGCAAGCTTTGCTTCCTTCACTGCTGCATTTTTAATGCCTGAGCAAACTAAGATTATTCGAATTGCTTCAACCATTTAAAATATTTATGCTGCTACGGAAGTCTTAAGGTCATAAAGAAATTGCTACTAATAGAAGCAATGTATTATGAGAGTCAGTGTTTATGATTCTTAACTTTTTCCTGCTACATGACTCACCCTACTCAGTTATTTAGAAGTGGATATTTTTTTAAAAGGACTGACTTCCTCTGAAAGAACTCTTCACTTAGTTACTGCCAGAGAAAAACAGAACCAAGAAATTGAATTGAGGGAATTAAACAAAAATGAAAATACAAAACCTGATTCCTGTATTATTTTTAGGCATTCGGTTTCGCTCTATGTGATCTGTCAGAGAAAGCAAGAGGAAAAGCAGCAAATTCAAAACCATACGCTCAAACAACATTCAAGACCTGACCTGGAAACTTGGTTTCTAAAATAATCAAGGCCAGAAACATCTCCACACTGAGAATCAGGAGCATCTGTGCAGAAGCTGCCTGTCACTCTGCTGTGTTGGTTTGAAGGGAAAGGGGGTGAAGGTCAGCCTGGTGATGCAGAGTCGTGTTTCCCAATGTTACCACAGCTTGGGAAGTGGATCAAACCTAAAGCCCAGACCCTAGAAGCACACAGGAATGTGGAAGTGTGTAGATCTGGATTTCTCATTTGCATTTTGTACAGGTTTTTAACCTGAGGGAAGAACAGGAGAGTGAGATTACCTTTAGATCTGAATAACACAGCAGGTTACATTACAGCAACAACTTTTCTGATGCATTTCAGGGTGCTTGATCTCAGATCCCTACCGCAGCTCTCTCCTTACAGGCACCCAGTTCTGCAAGTGGGCAGGACATTGTCACCCTTCTACACCCCATTGGCAGGTACTACAACCCCAAGAGAATAGGAGGAGGAGGATGAACATCTTGCCATCAGAGGGGACATAATTCAGCAGAATCCTAAAAGCTGCATGTGGGCTGAAGCAGCTGCTGTGAAGGGAAGGCGGGTCAGGAGAGCAATGCAACTTGCAAAGGGGTCAGGGAAACAGGAGGTGCTGGCAGTTCAGATGTTGCCCCAACAGGAGGTTTTGCAAGTGCAGCCAACCATCAAGTCATATCTGTGCAAGGAGTTCATGCACTGGAGGCCTCCTTTGCAGAGCTGTCTTTAAGCATCTGCACTAGATGCTACCATTACATTTTGTGCTTGCATTTCCACAGATCTTTTAAGGTAGTTCAGTGTTCATGAGCTGAAGGATATTCTGAAACCCTGTGCAGGTCTCTAGCCTTGTGCCTAGAGGAAAGCGTGACCAGCTGCAGAAGGGAGGGTTGCAATAGAATGAAATTTCTACATCCAGAGCTAACAGAGAAAGAGAGAATGGACAACAACAAAGGGATCTCTGCAGCTTTTTAGCATTTAACTCTTGAATTGTTGCACTATAACAAGCCCTGTGATGGGGCTGCACTGCACAACTGGCAGTGACACAATAGTGCTGCCACTGGCACTGTGGTCCCCCATCTGTGGGAGAAGTTAATTATCAAGAACTACCAAGGCCAGCATATTCTGTGAAATGCATCTGCAAAGGCACACTGAGAAGCTGTTGCTGCCTCCCATCTGTGAGCATTTCTCTGTCCTCTGGGGTTCTGAAATAAGCAGCATGTGGCTCACAACCTCTCCTGTTCTGCAAAAGCAGTCCTGCCTGATTACAAGAAGCAAATGTCAGATGTTGTGTCCAGGGAAATGCCAACCTGTATTACTAACAAGATACTCAAAATCCATGCTAGATGTTAACAGCTGTGTGCCTAGAGGACTAATGAGGAGCCTTGGCCATGGCTGTATAGAAAATACTGTGGTGAATACCTGTGTATTTAGTGACTGATCCCTCTGTCCTACAGGTAAACAGGATCATGCAGAAGGTGTCCTAGCATGGGAGTAACTTATCTCTAGAAGGAAGATGTATAACCAGACCCATCCTGCAACACAAACCCTAGCTGGTCGACAGAGAGGGTCAGTATAAGCAGAGGTGGCATTCAAGGGGAGGGACTTCTTTGACCTGAATGCTGCCTCTGACCTGTCCGAGTCCTGTTCGTAGCAGCACTGCACAAGGTCTTCTGCAAGAATTTGTAAGGCTGTGACCAATTTGGTGTCCATCTGTGCATCATTGGTGTGTGGCAGCACTGCTTGTGGCCTCAGCAGTGATCTCCTGCAAAGTCTGTCCACATGAATTTAGATGTCCCTGGGCTTGAAAAATAACTGAGCTACTGTTGATCCCACTACAAAGTTCTTTAATGGCAATTTTTCAGAGCATGCTGAGTAGTTGCACAAGAGGATCTACAGTATGCCTGCCTGCCTGCCTGCCTGCTTTCCCTGTTACCCATACATTCTTTCATCTCACCTTAAGCCTCTGTTTATTTTGTTTGGAGCAGAATACTTCCATCTTAAACACTTACTGAAAAATAAAATAAAATAATAAAATAAAATGTTAGCTGGATTGTTTTTGTGAATGTAACTTTCACTATTAACCTTAAAAGTTCATTCTAATTTTGTTTGCCAGAATCTGTACACTGTTTCCTGCAATTCATGTTATATGTTTTGTACTGTTCTATCATTCGATTTCAGAATACAGTCTGTGTGTGACATGCTTCACAAAACACAGCTGTATTATATCTAACTCTCTCGTTGGGCTCAAAGCCCAAAGAACTATAGTGTTTCTTAGTTAACTATCATCTGACTTACACAGCAGTGATATTTTTGTAGTCTCTTTTAATTTGATTTCTATGTTTGTTTTTACAGTGGTATCCTGAAATAAAATATCTTCATTTCTCTGTACATCAAAGCTCATCAGTACGAATCAATTTCCACTCACAAAGCTGGAAATCAAACTGAAAATCCTAAAAGATTTTGGAGCATTTAGAATTTTCAAAGTATTTGAATGGACTTTCAGCATAGTGTGCTGCTAATGCAAGCTTCTTTTTACTGGAGAAATAGGATGACTTTTGATCATCATGGTGTAGTAAGCTGTGCCAATTTGAAAAAGCAGCAAAACCACTTTTCAAGCAGAGACTAAAGAGTGCAAAGTATGATGTTTGTTGATACTTTTCCAAAATCAAAATCAAATCGTGAAAATTTTGGTTCTGCAAAATGGAATTTGCATTTATGGAGTTAAACTAGTCAGGGCATAGACACTGTCCCTCAGAGCAGAAAATATTTCATCATTTGAAAGCTTTCCTAGGAAATTTTCCAAGACTCCAAGTGGAACATCAACTGATATTGTCAATATTGGCAATGTTTCAGATAGTCTGACATGAGATGTTTGCCATGCTAGAAAAACCTTACAAATGTTGGCCTGTTAGGGTCTGCTGAGTTTTGTTTAAAAATGGAAGCCAACATAGAAATATTTAAATGATTAGAAATATCCCTGGATTTCAAAAGGTTGTACTATAAGAGAGAGTTTGTAGTATAGTATTTCCTCAATGGCACTGCTATTTCTGATAAATGTGTATGTGAAGCAGCCCATCAGCTCAGCGAATCCTAGCCTGGCTTGAAATGCTTGCGCTGCTGGAAGGACTGTGTGCCCACAAGTGATCTCACAGGGCACTGCAATGAGGCAAAGCACTCAGCCCTGGGGAAAAAAAAAAAAAAAAAAAAAAAGAAAAAAAAAAACTAATAATAATAAAAAAATACATTAACCAGGTCTGACTGTGCTTCCTTCCTTGCCTTGTAGAATATACAATATTTATGAATAAGCTTTATAAATTAGTATCTGAGAGGTTTCTGTGCTAGTTAGAGCTTCACAGCCTTATTCTGGATGATTCATTCATTGAGTCAGGCAGCCATGCATGCAGTCATTCATAAGTAATGCCGTACTTCCCTTCAGCATGCAACAATGCTTTACCTCCCCAGTGCCTTTCAGTGTTTGTTCAGCAAACACGTTAAGCTAAAGAGTTCCTATTTCAAGCTTTACCATTATTTTTAAAGAAACAGTGTTACCTGTATGTGTACAGGGTGCTGTACAGAGAGCCAAACAGCAATATCAGTAGCAAATGGTTGCAACATTTTGTTTGACCCGGAGTATACCCCAGAAATTTTCTGACTTCATCCATCCATAAGAGGAGGCTTGTACTGACAAGCAAGACTTCAGCTCCTTTTACATTCATGCTACTTTAACAACATTCCCATTTTAACATTCACCTGGACTCCTTGAGGAGGGCTGTCAGCTCCTCCTAGCCTCATAAAACCTGAAGCACCAGGATTCAGTCTTTTGTTATCAGCATTTTTCATTTTTTAATTTTATTTTTTATTATTATTATTTTTTTGCTAATTTCAGCAGTGGACAGGGAAAAAAAAATACAGAAAATCACAGACCAAGGAAGAACATTTGACCTGTGTGTTTTTAAGGAGCTATGAAATATTAAGATCTGGCCAGAGCTGCAGATTAGGCAATAACATTTGTTTGATTTCTGTAAAATCATAGAATATTGGATTGGCCTCATCCAACTTTACACAAATAAAAGGAAGGCACTTAGTCTAAACTAACCATTTTATTACACACACACACGCACACACACACGCAGAGGGGAGAGACAGAATAAGTTTACATGAAATGAAAACACTGTGTGACACTGCATAGAAGATTGTTTAGTCTTCTGGTAACAGGTAATTTCTGCCTATAGTGGAATAACAAGATCAGCATAAGTAAATATCAATAAATACACAGCTCATTGCAACTGACACAACTAACAAAATCTAGAGTACAGACACACTTGTGAAGAAAATGATTATGCAGCATGGGTGCCTACTCCTCATTTTGGGAGGAGAAAATATTTTTTTTCCTCATTTCTAAATAGACTTCTGAGCTGAACAAGTTCCAGTTGAGAAAGTTGGCCTTAAACATTGTTCTATTTCATGTAAATCCACAGGAAAAAAGGAACTGAAAGTTAAAAATATTGCTGGGTGTGACATGTTTGTACATCCCAGACATCTGGGGTATCACAATTAGAAACTCTTTGTGGACATATTTTCATTAGTCATAAAAAGACAAGTCATTTTTTCCTGTTTTTTCAAGATTTCAAAGCTCTGCATTGTATCCCTAAACATAAGTCATTAAATTATGTTTCAAGCTTAAGGAATTTCATGCTTTGAAATTCTTTTGAAGTTGGCAGATGATTTTATTTTTCTGCTTTGCCTTTTTTTTTTTTTTAATTTTTGTTCTTACAGAAGGAGCTTCAGTTTATCTTCCATTATTGTTCTCTTTCATAGCTCATCAAAGGACACCCTTATGAAAAGGTACATAATCTTGTTAAAGAATAATGTTTTGAAACACTCTGCTGTATTTTGAAAGCCTTGGTAATGGCAATATTTTAAAAATAGCTGTTAAATGGTTTTTCTTCTTTTTAAACAGATTTTCAAGGAAAATAAAATTATTTTCTTTGAATTTTTGTTTCTTTACTTTTGATGTATATAAGATATTGCACCAGAAAAGCAGTTGTATTTCCCACTTTTTTCTTTTTTTGTTTGTTTGTTTTGCTTTGTTTTTGTTTGTTGGTGTTTTTTGTTTTTTTTTTTTTTTTTTCTGTTTGTTTGTTTGTTTGTCATTTTCTGTTGTCATTTAAGTTCCGAAGTGTTTTAATTTTAAAAATTTACCATGTTCAGGACACCATATGGTCAATTTTCCAGTTAGCTATCTTAGGAGTTTGCATGAAAGAAAAGTACATTTGCAGACAGGGTACTACCAAGTTATGGATTTACTCGTATATTGCTGAGAATTATTTTTAAGGAAAAGTAAATTTTCCACTAAATGATAAATTTTCTGAAGTGTCTGGAAAATGCAGAAAAGGATAAAACACCCCAAAACCTGAAATATTTTTTTCTGTTGTGGTACTTTGTTTCTCTGTTCTTACAAGTTTTGAGTCAAATTTCTACCAAATAAATGAAATATGCATGCTAGTGTTGTAAATGTTTCATTTTCACTTTACACATGACATGGGATTCTGATAGACTCATTTGGACTAAAGATCTATAACTTGACATACTTTCTATAAATTTCTCTGCACTCTGGTTGCTCATGTAGACAACGCATCATACTCTATCATTACAGCCATTAAAATCTATTATGCTTGATCATTAAGTGCTTGTCCAAAACTCAGAGGAAGATTCTGATGCACGCCATATCTAGTTATATGTTTAATTCAGTAATAATATTATGTTATTCATAGTGATAAATTAACATTCCAGTAAAAACAATAACTCCTTTTCTGTCCAATCCTTGCATCCAACCTGGCCACTTCTCTACATAGTTGGCTACAGAACAACAATTAGAGGATGGATTATGACTTCTTCATTATTAAACAATATTTGTAAGATAAATATTAACCTAAATTTGTTTTGTTGTACTGTTTTTACATACCTACCTAATCAAGGAGTTTTAATGCTAATGTGCTCTCTGTGCTCAGGGCAGAACAATGGAAACAGTGGAGACACAATCAACTCTCAGTGTTACTTAACACTAAGACAATTATTATCATCAATATAAACAAAATAATCATCTCTGTTGTTCAGTGCAGAACCTTAAGTGAGTCTGGATTGCCTGGGGTAGGCAGTCCAGCTTCTTGTCTTGTCTGGACAAGGTTTAGGTCCTCCTAAAAGACCTCAGAACTATAGATGAGAAATAATTTTAAATGTTATGATTATCTTAATTTTTCAGATGAGGAAATGAGTCAAAGGAGCATTTGCCTGCATCAGCACTAGGGACCAAACCTACAGCCTATGATTTCACTAACTCTGTTTGGCAGGTAGTGTTTGGCCAGTGCAGTGACCTCTGCCATCACCATGTCTTTTTCTGCTTCATATTTACTTGCCTTTTCTCACCTTCCTGAAATCCCAGCAGTGCCCTACTCTGTCTGTTCAGGCTTTGTGTTCTTTGTAACATGGATGGCTGAGGAGGAGTTGCAGACAAGTTAAATTCATGCAAATCTGGATTTTTACAGAAGTTGGAAGGAGCCTGTCATAACTGAAACATATTCAGTTATTTTCTTCTTCACAAAGGGCTGCTCTTGTCCTTTCTGAAGCAACTTAGGCTGTGTACACAACTCATGTGGAAGAAAATCTCTGCTTTCAATATACAGCATAAAGTTGAGTCTTAGAAACATCAAACTCATCTACAAGAAATCAGTTTTTAGTAGGATTGTGCTGGTGTGGACTACTGGCTATAGAAACCACACTAACCTGTTACTTTGTACTGCACTGAGTAACTTGTTATTAATTTGTTGCATGCTATCTAAACCTCAGTTTGCGAATCTTGTGGAACAGATGTTGTTTTAGGATTATAAGTCTGGACAGCACAGTGGGAGTCATATCCTCCTTGGAAGCCTGACCACAACAAAGAGGGTGAATAATCACTCATATGAATCTACAGAATGAGCACGTTTCATACACTAGCCCACTTAAAGCACAAATAGCTCAGTCATCAATGAGCTGTTCAACAAGACATTTCCAAATACGTGCATTAACAACTCCTATAAGAACCAGGATATTATGGGTTGAATGACATTTCTTCTCTACTTCTCTCTTCCACTTTGAACCCATTCAGGCACTGTGAAGCCACATGTAGAAGCTGCAGTGACACTTACTGGAGAAGGCTGAGCTGATTACTTTCTGCTTCATGGGCTGCTGAGATTCCAGGCAACAGGTTCTTTAATGTACTGATTACCCTTGCATTATAGTCTATTAAACATTGCAAATCTGCTGAGCTATCCAACTTTTATTCAGAAACCTAAAAACTTGTGCCATCATCAAGCACTCCACAGATGCCCCAGATATTACGGCAGCACAATCACTCTACTGTTTAGAGTACTTTGTTTCTGTCTCTGTGAATTATGGGGTGTCACATCATGGCATGTGTTGTTAAAATGGGAGGTAACCCAACATGACATGGCATAATGGGATACAGCCTGTGGGTATAGGGAGAAGGGTGGGAAGGGAAATACAGCTAGACCTATATCTGATGAAAAATCGGTGACCAAAAATTTAGCCAAGTAGTCACTTGTATCTTACCAGGTTATTCAAAAAATGAGTCAAATTGTTGTACAGTGACTTGAAAGCAAAGTAATCTGATTCCATAGCTGTAATAATTAAATTCAATATCTTTATTTCTATTTCAAATAGATCTTCTGCTGATCCGAAAGATGCCACAATTTGTCAACATTAGCAGCTTCTGTTAAACCGAAATGTTCTGTAGAGTATGTCCAGTTTCATCAAAGTTTGGAACAGAACAGAGATGGATTTCAAAACACATAGGTTTCCATCAAGAATGTGTATGGTTTTCTACTCCTTCCAGTCTCGCAGCTCCTTGGCAGCAAAAAGCTCCTAAGATCCACCAGTCTGTTATGGGACTGGAGCTCCTCTTGCCATCAGAAATGATTTTGGCACTTTGTAGTCCCCATTCCACAGCAGATAAGAAACAAGAGTCAAAGTGCTGAAATTGTTTGTGCAATGACTTTAACTTTTTCCACACAGCTCTAGACAAATACTATATGGGTAACTATATTAACTGCAGAACTGCTGTTCCAGTGGCCCATAAAATCAATTCCATGCAACATATTCAAGTTTTAGCCACATACCAGACTCCTCTCTCTTTTTCTCTCTTCATCTATACCTAAGTACTCTCAGCAGCAGGCAGCAAGGAGTCTCTCAATAGAGGCATACGTTAGCCTGCGGCCTGACTGTCCTCGAGGGAGAAGTACTTTCCCCATCCTAGAGTAATTGTTTTTAATTGCAAAACATCCTCTGCCTAAATAAAAATAAGACTCCCCTTAGCAGACTCAGACAGGCCAAAGATTATTTATTTTTTGCAACACCATTACACATAGGAACTCAGTCATGAATCAGAATCCCAAGGGCCATCTTGCTACTTATAAATGAATCTAAATATACTGTTTTGTATCCTTCCATTTCTGCTTAATTTTTTTTAATTAGTGGGTCATTGAATTAGAGAAATGGGTGCAGACTGCAAAGAGCACTGGAAAGCCATTTCTTGCAAAGTGCTTGTCTTCTATTAATGTGGTACTTGTCCCATTGAGTGTGTTTGAGCAATATGCACAGCATTAGTTTCTGAAAGCAGAAAAAAATGAATAGAAGAAACATTTCAAATGGCTGAGAAGCTTTCAGAGGGCAGAGGGGAATAAATTAATAAATAAATAAATAAAGAATATGTCACCTGGAAATTACAAAATGTATTATACTGTGTAACCTTTCTGAATGCAAAAGTTTATGTTCTTGCCGGGCCCAATTCTTATTTTGGCTTTGTTTTCGGTATCTCTGATAAACTTTCAGAACAAATGTTGAGAGTATATTTTGTGATGTATCAGATCACAGTGACCCAACCTTTTCTTGCAGCTCTTTGCATATTTCTGAAAGGTAACTCAGAACAAAATAGCAACAAGGCAATGTGTCCCTGCAAATATAATGAAGACTTTTTCTCCTCAGTTCCAAATCTACCATCTCTGTCAGGTGCACACCAGAAAGTTTCTTCCACATTCTGTTTAATGGTATACCTACCCCAACAGAAAAATCTCATTCCAAACAGTCATTACCTCCAGAAAAAGGCATTGGTCACTGTATATTTTCCTTGCAATCTAAATGCTTATAAAATCAGTCCAGTAGGTCTCTAAAGTCCGTCTGTAAGGGCACCATCTGATGACTCACACTCATGTTACAGATGAGAACTAAGATGGAACAGAATCAGCAACTCACTGCATCTTTGCTGAGTTGGCAGAAATCTCAGAAACCATAGCTCTGGATATGAGAAAACAAAAGAAAGAAAAGGCAGAGTAAATCTCCCTATTTGCCAGAGAACCAAGTCCACTTAGCTTTGAGGAGTTACTTGCTGTATGCCTTCTTAAACAGGAGTTTAAAATGTATTTTAAAGAATAAAGGGTAAACTCAGTGGTGTTGTCTGCTTCCTGGACTAACAACAGCCCCCTTAACTTTGCTGTTCTGTGAATGTTTATAAAAGGCATCAGCTCTGTTTTTCTATATTTTCCCATTTATTTGCCAGTTGCTATGTGAAACTTTGCTGTGTTTTGAAAAGATGATTTAACAGGATCAAACAGATGTTCCTTCTGCATGGAATCTTCAGCCTGGGCAAGCAGAGGATGAACATTTTCATGTGGCTTTGAATACATTTCCACTTACATGCAATCCTTCCAATGGTGGGAAAGAATTTTCTCCTTCCAACAGGCTTCTGAGACTGGATGTAAAATGAGTAGGGGAAACAATTATTTTTTTTCAGGTGCTCAGCTGGCAAACACAGCCCCCCAAATTCAGAGTTGGGAAATGAGTTCTTCACGTTTGAGGTTATTTGGATCTTTAAGGGAAAAGTAAATTAATTTGCCTTTTTATGTAGCATGGTTCACCAGCTTCCATGATCTGGGAAATTTTTAAATGATTCCTTTTTTAGGCATTTTGTTCCCTTGTGTCTTCAGACCATGGCAAATATGATAGGTTGGTTTGTTCAGTTGGGTTTTGAGAACTGGGTTTGACTAATGCTTTTATAGGAATGAAGAGCACTGTGACATCAGGTCACAATGGTACTGATTGAAAGACAAGTAACTGGTTCCCATCAATGGCCCATAGTGGATGTGCAGTTGAGAATATAAGAACAAATTACTTGTGTGCAGAGGTATTACCCCACAATACTTTCCTAACCTGAGGAAATCTACTGTGCAGAGACTTCATTAAATAAAAATCCAACAAGACCGGTTTGTTACTAAATGTAGATTTTTCTGGCTCATGAAGTGGATGTATCCAATCACTTCTTGAATTCACATAGGTTTCTAATGCCCCCAGCGTATCCACAAGTGCCAAGAAAGTCTGATGAATAGTTAGATAATCTTAGATAATCTTTAGTAGTTTCCTGAATTTAAAAGTTGTGACACTTTTTCATATTACTCTTAATAAACATCTTATGTCACCCTGCAAATCCAGGACAAAAATTTAGTGCCAGTAAAATTCATTACATTTCATTTTTCCTATAATAAATAAAGAATTCTTTTGTATCTGCATTGTCTTTGTTAAGCGGTACGGAGAAGCAAAATCTACAAGCTTTGTAAGCTTACACACATGCTGTATTTGTTGTTTTTTTTTCATTGTTATTACAACATAACATAATCAAATCATTCCCCTACTCTTTTTTTTTGGTCACATGCAGATTCTGAATGGACTCTTCTTGGATCACTTGGAGGAAATTCTTATTAAACAGGATGTGCCTCTTCCTTAGGGTGACAGGTTATATACAGAGATTTTTCATCACAGTGAAAAATGCTTCGTTTTCTGCCAACCATATGTAAAGCAAGGAGAAAAGTCTGGCCTTACTGACTCCTGGGGACTGAAAGTGGAGACAAAAAGGAAACACATACATTATAAATGTTCCTTTTAAAACGTAGTTTTACAAGACTCAAAATACGTGCAATTGAAAAATACATGTAAAAACAAAATAGTTAGGAATGCAAGCATATGCTGTTGTGAAGATGATGTTTTGAAGATGGATTGGTGTATTTTAAGCCTAGAAGTCTTATATTTTGCATATTACAAATGGACAGGCTTTTATGAATCCACTCGTGCCTTAAGCCCAAATAGATTTAGTGACAACAACAGATCCCGTAGACCCAATGACCTTAAGATTAGGCTGGTTTGGGGAAAAAAAAAAAAAAAAGTAAATTCTTATAGCAGTTTTTAGACAGGTGTTTCCAGCATCCCGAGTGTCTAAAATAACAATTTTTTCCCCAAAAAAAGTCCAACCTGATCTCAAACATTTATGAGAATGTTGTTTTTTAAATGCACACATTTGATATATTTATGACTTATCGTTGTTAGTGATGGGGCCATTAGAGGGTTGAGACTTTCATTTCTGAGTATAACCTTTTTGTTGTGGTATATAAGGATTAATTTTATTATACAGTACCACCAATGATAGAGGCCTCTAATTGTCTATCTTGAGATTTTTTATCTGGGGTTTAAAGGCTTGCTATAAACTTATCCTGCAGTGTGGAGGAAACACATGGCAAAGGATAAAAAGCAGATCATGTACTTGGGCTTGAGAGTGTTGTGTGATCTTCCTTTTTTTTTTTTTTTTTAACCGGATATTATTTGTTTGGTTGGATGTGAAATGTGAAGTGTGGCAATCTTGAAAAATGAAGTAAATCTTGCCTTGAGGCAGAAAAAAAATACTAAAGAAGCTTTTAGGTCAAACTATCAGTTTTACAGCAATAGTTTTGTATACTTGTATATACTCTGGAATATTCTTATGTACTCTTCTATTACTTTTTTTTTTTTTAATAAGAAATAAAAATACATATAAGCTTGTGCAGATTCTGATGCAAAATCACCTTGTTTCCTAGTTTTTAGACTTTTTCTTCTTTAAGGAAGTGCACTGGGCAAGATTCATACAAACCTGAAAGATCTAATACTGACCACCAGAGGAGCTGGCTGCATGAAACTTATTTTATTAAACTCTGTGGTGAATTTTTGTGCTTATGCCATACTATTGATGTGCAGCATTATTTACTCTGTGCTGTTTAAATCTTTCATGACACTGCTAATGCCTATAAGAACAATTCTTGCAGTGACATTACATCTCAGCAAGACTCAGGGAGGCTAAGAGATCTGTCTCCTGAATAGTCATTTGCAGCTTAGCCTGGGTGCATACCAGATCCTATGACAAGAGGGCTACTTCATCCTATAAGGAGGGCTTCTACAGAATAATGCCACTGGCAGGTCCCCTTTCATGACTCTCAAGATCCCCTGTGCTGCTTCATCTGTGATCCTTCTGAGTCCCACAGAGTCTCCATATATTGTACATGCAACAACTTTGCTCTGTTTATTCGTTCTGTTAGACAAAAAGTGATTTTTTGTTTGTTTGTTTGTTTGTTTTCATTGGTTCAGTTTCAAAAAAAGTGGAAAAGAGTAAAGTGGCATTCTGGGCAGCACAACCCGATCTCCCCATCTTTGATGGAGATACCGTACGGAAGCAGGGACGCTGTGGGACTAAGGGTGCGGCTCAGGATCAGGCAATACTAAACAGCAAACACTCTTTCAAAGTCAGTCCTGCAACACTGGTATTTTGGGTTATGCATGTATTGCAGATGATCTAGTACTTGCTGTATCTTGCTACTCTCTATCCCACCTTCCAGTTCTGAAAAGTGAAACCCTTTGTACTCCATATACAAGGGATTCTACATATATGTTACAAGTCACCCTGCAAAACTAATACATTTCCTTCTTTGCCATAATTTGGTACTAACCTTGTCATCCAGGTCAAAAAGCTGCCTATCTTTCTCACAAGATTAATACAAGCCACTGGGATGGAGATCCTACACATCAAAGAAGGTAAACCCTGCAACAAACTCTCAGCTTCACATGAAGTAATGGGTGTGTACAATAAACTTGTATACAAGCACATCTGCACTTGCAATAGCACAAAGATCTCACTTCACAGAATAGCTCAACAAATGAGGAGTAAAGGCCTTTTCAGAGGCTAACTTCACTGGGAGATGGCACTTGCCTACATCACACACAAAAAAAAAATAAAAAAAAAATGTGGGGGTGGATTTGAATGTGAGCTAGCAAGTGGTTTAAGTTACCTCTGTTTATTTCACTCTTACAGCACTCTTCTCCTATGATCTGTACCTAAGATAAATTGTTCTTCTGTGGGTTTGTTACTTATCTTAACAGTATTTCTCAAAACAAGTAAAGGTCACTTAGGAGACAATAAAATGTATCAATTCAAATCACATTAGCTGTTCAGAAAGTCTAAGAGATGGACATCTGTGGGGTAATTTGAGGAGGCAGGAGGGAACACCACATTTGAGGTTAACAGCTAAACTTTCAGCCTTTGTCAAAATTATGTTCAAAATCCTTTTGCTGGCTGCGTGTCCTGAAGCAGCAATCACAATTTAAGAAAAATACACTAAAAGGCCAAAAACCTAAAAGTTATTGTAACTGTAACTCATGCTCAATGGGAAGCTAACTAGCTATTTTAAAAGCACCTTTTTTTCTGCTCTCTATCAGTATGCAAATGTTAGTCTTACAGTTCTGGAAAGCTGTAATTCTTAACAGAAAGAGATTTTCCCAACACGAGAAATTGCCCAAATTATATTCCAAGTGCATTATGAATAGGAACCATGATAATTTTGCCATTGTAATCTACAGGCAGTCAAACTGAATTAATTTATTTTTATTTCTTTAATGTAAGGCTCCAGCCTGAAGTACTTTATGTTACTTTTTTATTTTTTTTTTTTTGGGGGGGGGGGATGGGTGTAGGGAGAGAATGTAGATCCACTGACCTACTTAAAGACATAAGAAAGAATAGTTGTTGTAAAGTGTTTTGAACTTTTTTTTGAAACCAGCACCCAGGTCTATGCTCAGGGAGTGTGACTAACACAAGAAGGTGCCATTCCACAGATGGAGAAACATTTCTCAGAGGCAGGCTCCTACTGCCCGAGTTGCCTTCAACAAGCAGGAGGCCACCCACTGCATATGCCAGGAGAGGCAGATCAGCTTCAGGGGATGTGGTGTATGGCAGGGCATCACTTGCCTTTTGAGTAGTATCTATGTACATGTTCACATCTGAATGCATTCTTCAGTTCAACCCCAACAAGACATTTCTCTTCCTTTTTCTTCACTTGGGTGAAACAGACTCTTGTTTATTCTCCCCAGCTCTACCCAGGAGATCTTCTTCACACCTTAAAAACTCCTCTATCATGGAAACAGTATCAGGCCATTGGCATTACAGTAACACCAGTTACATATACAGTATTAAGTATTTGTTCAGTCAGAGCTAATTTACAACTGAAATGTGCCTATACTGAGATTTAATGGTTTTATTGACTTGCATCCTAATTTTATTGATATCTAAAATAGGAATAAAGCTTAGTATGCCAGGGCAGT